TGTTACATTTTGATGACTGTAATGTTTATCTCACCAGTATAAGTAGATTTACATAGTTTGCTGCTTTCAAGCAGATTAACTGGGTGTAACTGCAGGTGAGGAATCTAACTCTGATTTAGTGTTTTGCCTTGTTTAGAGACTGACGTACTATGCAGTTGATTAATCCTTTCATGCAGCTCTGTTCACAGCAATTTCTATGTCATCGGTGGGGTTTTCTTGGAGTTTGAAGATAAAACTGGCATTTAGAAAATATTTAAATGAAACAAACCATTGCTAGTCTCAAGTAAAAAATTGTTTCACTTTCAGGATGATGGGTTAAGGTATCAAGATGCTATACCTGTAATCCTATATACCATTTGACAGCTCTGTAGGGTTTTTTTTTTTTTCTTCTCTTGCTTCAGTTTTCTTTTTTGTAAACATGCATGTCAAGTGACCTCATTAAATTTATGAGATCAAGGAGTATAACTGGCATGGTCAGAATTTAAAGCATGAAACGCTGTAGAAAAATCTAAGAAATAGTTCTTGCACAGTACTGTTCTATGAATGTGCATGTATAAGGGAGGGGGAGGGATTGGAGAAAGAGACCAAATACACTTAGTTTATAACTGAGTTTGTTGTATTATGGTTAGTAGTTTATTTTTTCAAATTGGTAAGACTTGTATTATTTTATTCCTTGCATTGACCTGATCAGTTGCATATGAAGTATGTTTGACATTAATGACCTTACATGGACTTAACCAGACTCTGAGCTTTTCTATTGAATATCAGTGCAGAGAAAGCTCACATTTATTATTATTTTTTGTAATGCTCCTATAAAGATGTTTGTATAGCACTGAGCAAATCTGATCTCTCAAGCATAAATAATCAGTGAGTTTCTATAGGTATAATACAAACTTGAATGAAAAAAAATAAAAGGAAGCGCCCTAACCAGTCAGATATGACATTCTAGATTAGAAAAAGTGATTGATTACGTTTTCTATATTTTGAAAAAATGAAATTGCTGTTTAAGATTTCTTACAGGTTGCTGCATTACCCTTTTGTCTGTTTGTTTGAATGCTTAATTGTTTTACAGTGTGTGTATATGTATATTATATGAGTGTGTGTGTAAATATATATACACACGCACACATTCTTGGGAGAAAACAAGTGTATGTTTTGTCTTGAATGTCTGCTGTTTCTTTTTTGAAACTTTCAACTCTGAAGAATGCTTGACTTAACACATTTCAGAAAGCGTAGTAAACTATAAACCAGGATTACTCAGTGGGTGGGGGAAACCTTTTCCAGAGGCTTGACAGGGTTTATAATACATCACCATAGTGCTAAAGTCAAGTAAATAAAATACGGAGAAGGTGGTTTAAAATGTGTTCTCACAGGAGTTGGTGAAAATGGTAGCTGTTACTAATACATCTCTTTTGTATTGGTGAGTGCATTTTTCACAGCTCTAAACATTCTATTATTGGTCTAGATTTGTTTTGAGAGGCAGGATAAAACAAAAGTTATAAAAGGTCATGGAGACTAGGAACTCTGTACGAGCATTCTTTCAGAGCTCGCAGTCTTCAACGTCTTATGAAAGTTTTTAGTGGTCTGTAAAGCAGATGCTTTTATTTTATAATGAGAGCTGCTTAGGGGAAAATGTTATGTCTTAAAATTTTATGCCAAATTAAATATTTTCCAAAAATGTATCATTTTCATTCTTGATGAACTGTTAGAAAGGATTTCTAGAAAGCCAAAAGAACCACATTAAATTCTGCCTGTTCTAGCTTGTTCAAGTAGTTGTTACATACTTTGCATAAGTTTCACAGTTGCAGTACACTGTGGTAATTATAACAGCGCCCTGCAGAAGCCACTGTATTTACAGTTTCCTGATGCAACAGGAAAGGGAACGGATGAGTTACAAATAGAGAGGGGAGAAGAGTGCAGGGGAGAACCATGTGTTAGCTAAGCAGAGAACTTAAACTAGCATTGTTTCTAACTCAAATGTTAGAGGACTTATCTACGCACAACTTGCACACGTTTCACTAAATTGTTTCTAGTAGATTTTAGTTTAAACTAATGTAAACTCCTGTGTGGTCACTCTTAAACCGATATAAAAATCGGTTTCTATTGATTTAGGTTTTGCCACTAATTTAAGCTAAAATCAACATAAACTGGGTTTAAATCAGTTTGTGTGTCTATATACAGGAGTTTTCACTGGTTGAACTACATGGACTACTACTTTACCCAGAGTTGCACTGGTTTAATTAAACTATAGGCCTGCTTAGTCTTGGCTTAAAGTTAATTGGTCTCAAAATATGCTCCAAATATAGGGAAAACTTTTGAAGGAATCAGAACTACAGCTTAAACTTGTTTGGGTGTTTAAAAACCTTAAACATGTTAAAAAGTTGGGAACCTTTCATGGAAAGGAATGCAGAGTCATAATTCACTGTATAATATTTTTGTTGATTTGAACTTATTAAAAGTACTAGTTAACAACAGAGTATAGTATAACACCAATAAAAGAAAAAGCAGTATTTCTTTATTTGTTTTATGTAGTGACCTGAGGAGCTGCTTCAAATATTCCACAGTTTAATGATCTACTTACTATGGGATTATGGATGTTTAATACAAGGTAAAAAGATTAGGGGGAAATAAAGTCCGGCATTACTTCGATGCTAAGTCTGAAATGTTAATTGCACAAATGTCAAAATTATGGTCTCATCAGCTCTCTTCCCTATTGCCCACAACATGGATAGAAAGCTCAATTTTACAAGGTGCTTTTGCTGCAATGAGAGCTGAGGGTGGTTGGTCCAGTTGCAGGAGGCTTTCAGATTCTTTATGAATTCATATAGAAGGTGTGCAATAGGGAACATTGTTAGTTCTTCTTCCAGTTAAGTTCCTATGGACTCTTCACTGCAGGTGCACAGGCACCTCTCAAGCCCTTAATTGGAGACTTTTCTGCTAGCAATGCCTGTTTGGCCTGCACATGTGCCCTGTGCCGCCTCATGCTGGATGCTGAGTCTGTATAGGGATGCACAGGTGAACCGCATTCAGTCTTCTTCTCAGCCTGAGATGGATCTCTAGCATGCCCACCTTAAGTGTGCCTCCGCTATTTCACGTTCTTTTTATAGTGGTTTGTTTTGTTAGTGTCGTTAGTTGTTTTTAGTAGTTATTAGGGCTGTCGATTAATTGCAGTTAACTCACATGATTAACTCAAAAAATTAATTGCAATTTAAAAAATAATCGCAATTAATTGCAGTTTTAATCGCACTGTTAAACAATAGAATACCAATTTAAATTTATTAAATATTTTGGATATTTTTCTATATTTTCATATATATTGTATTCTGTGTTGTAATTGAAATCAAAGTGAAAAGGAGTACTAGTGGCACCTTAGAGACTAACCAATTTATTTGAGCATAAGCTTTCGTGAGCTGAAGTGAGCTGTAGCTCACGAAAGCTTATGCTCAAATAAATTGGTTTGTCTCTAAGGTGCCACTAGTACTCCTTTTCTTTTTGCAAATACAGACTAACACGGCTGCTACTCTGAAACCTGAAATCAAAGTGTATATTATTTTTTATTAAAAATATTTGCACTGTAAAAATGAAAAATACAAGTACTGTAGTGTAATCATTGTCCTGAAAGTGCAACTTACAAATGTAGATTTTTTTTATTACATAACTGCACTCAGAACCAAAACAATGCAAAACTTCAGAGTCTGCAAGTCCACTCAGTTCTACTTCTTGTTCAGCCAATCTCTGTGACAAACAAGTTTGTTTACATTTACAGGAGATAATGCTGCCTGCTTCTTGTTTACGTCACCTGAATTGGCATTGGCATGGCACTGTTGTAGCCAGCGTTGCAAGATATTTACATGCCATATGTGCTAAAGGTTCATATGTCCCTTCATGCTTCAACTACCATTCCAAGGGACATGGTCCAGGCTGTTGATGGGTTCTGATCGATAACAATCCAAAGCAGTGCAGACCGACGCATGTTCATTTTCATTATCTGAGTCAGATGACACCAGCAGAAGATTAATTTTCTTTTTTTGGTGGTTTGGGTTCTGTAGTTTCTCTTTTAAGAATTCTGAAAGCATGCTTTACACCTCGTCTCAGTCAGATTTTGGACAGCACTTCAGATTCTTAAATCTTGGGTCGAGTGCTGTAGCTGTCTTCAGAAATCTCACATTGGTACCTTCTTTGCGTTTTCTCAACTTTGCAGTGAAAGTGTTCTTAAAATGAACAACATGTGCTGGGTCATCCTCCAAGACTGCTATAACATGAAATATATGGCAGAATGTGAGGAAAACAGAGAAGGGGACATACAGTTCTCCCCCAAGGAGTTCAGGCAGAAATTTAATTAACGCATACTTTTTTTAATGAGCATTATCAGCATGGAAGCATGTTCCCTGGAATGGTGGCCGAAGCATGAAGGGGCGTACAAGTGGTTAGCATATTTGCGACATAATACCTTGCAATGCCGGCTACAAAAGTACCATGCCAACGCCTGTTCTCACTTTCATGTGACGTAAACAAGAAGCGGGCAGCATTATTTCTTGCAAATGTAAACAAACTTGTTTGTCTGAGTGATTGGCTGAACAAGAAGTAGGACTGAGTGACTTGAGGCTCTAAAATTGTACATTGTTTTATTTTTGAATGCAGGGGTTTTTGTACATAATTCTACATTTATAAGTTCAACTTTCGTGATAAAGAGATTGCACAACATTCAAAAATACTATTTTCTGTTTTTGTACAGTGCAAATATTTGTAATAAAAAATAAATATAAAGCGAGCACTGTACGCTTTGTATTCTGTGTTGTAATTCAATATATTTGAAAATGTAGAAGACCTCCAGAAATATTTAAATAAATGGTGTTCTATTATTAATAGTGCGATTAATCGCACGGTTAATTTTTTTAATCGCTTGACAGCCCTAGTAGTTATATTTATTACGTAAGTGTTAACAGTGAGAGGATTGTTTATTTGTTTTTGTTTTTCCTCCTCCTCTCTCTTTCTTTCAGAAGCCTTGTCTTCCTGGTGGGGCATGCCTGGCTGACCAGGCTTCACATGCAGCGTATGCTGCCAAGAGGCTATCCCAGTAAGTGGTGGCTACTCTAAGTGTGTTCATTATTTGGAGGAGTCCCATGTCTCCCAGAAGTGCAATTTCTGCCTACCTCTCAGGTTGAAGGCAAGGAAGAACAAGGAAATTAAGCTGAGACTGTTAATGACGGAACACTCAACCAGTGTCTGAGGCAGGTTAGGAGGGTAAGCGCCCCTTTTTAGTACCATCAGGCTCAATCCCTCAATCTGCACCTACCAATTTGATACGCTCAGTACAGAGCAAGCAATGGTGCCAGACTCCATCAGGGGGGCTTACATCGGCACACCTGCCATAGACGGTATCATAAGCTTCAGCTACGGCATCTCGGTGTCCATGTCGGTACCAATTCCCTACTCAGTACCGTAAGAATTTAGATACACAAGAGACCCATCCATATCAGATGAGCCTGAATCCCGGCTCCTTGTAGGTATGAAGTGTCTTTTGGTACCAAGACCTCAGTCTCTAGCCTGCTACTGTCCCCCGTTCTGCGGGACTCTCCATCCTTTTCTCTGGAGGCTCTTCCACTGGATGAGGAGGATGAAGGGGACTTCAAATCAGTCTTTTCTGTTTCAGTCCAGGGTTCCCAACATGTCCTGTCAGGACCCATTCGTTGACCGTTACAGAAAAGATAATGACCATCATCAAGAATGGTGGAACCAACCCTGAAACCCTACTCTTCTGTATGTCTCTCTTCCCTCCCCCCACACAGCCATACGGGATCCTTCGGCTGCTTACCAACAGCAGTTCTCCAGACCACTGGTACCATCTCAAAGGGACACTAGGATTGTTCAGTCCTCTCCTCCAGAACCAGCTGCCTCACAAAAAGCAGTTATACTTCCACCACCTTCCATGGCCAACAATTTTCAGCAATTGCAAGACCTCATAAAGAGAATAGCTGTCATTCTTCAGATTCCACTAGAAAAGGTCAGGGATTCACAACACGAGATATTGGCTGTCCTACAGTCAATAACACACTTGAGGGTGGCATACCCATCAGCGAGGCACTCCTGGATCCAAGTAAAACTGTGTGGCAAACACCTGCTACTATTCCATCAGCATGCAAAGGAGCGGATTAAAAAGTATTACGTTCCCCCTAAGGACTCTGATTTCTTGTTTTCCTACCTTCTACCTAATTCCCCTCTGGGGAAACTGCTTAGAAGTCCCCTGAAGTGGACCCACCCACAGGGACACTACTCAGAGAAAGAGAGGAGTTATTCATCTTATGCAGTAACTGCATTTCTTCAAGGTGTGTCCCCCTTTGGGTGTTCCACAACCCATCCTCCTTCCCCTCTGCTTTGAACTGCTCTCTGTGGACATTCAGCAGGAGAAGGAACTGAGGGCAGTTTGCTTACACATTCTTATATAGGTGCCTGGCACAAGGAGGCATAGGGACACATGTATGAGTCGAATGGGCACTGCGAGAGGAAAAGTCTCTGATACAGGGCTCAAAGTTGCATGTGCACTGGAGGTGGTGCACCCATAGGGGGGTACATCTTGAAGAACTGCAGTTATTGCACAAGCTGAGTAACCTCTTCTTGCTGTGGAGTCCATTCTTTCAAAGTTCCTGACCTTGTGTGAGCTCAGTTCTAATGTTGCACTTTATTAACATCATTGTTGCTTTTGTAAAGATATACATTATATATAATGTATTTCAGTACTAATTTATTTTGTTTTTGAAATGCACTCATTTTATCTGAGTATTTGAGCCTGTAAAATGGCTGAATGGAACATCTTCAAACCACTCCACCCAACTACACCCCTGCCCCACCCCCCAAAAAATAATTGGGGGTGAGGGGATGACACCTCCCAGCTAGAATAACCCTGAATTATTAGCTCTACAAAGACTCCCTCTACCCCCGAAAGTTTTAAATCACTGAAATTAATGGTTCAGCATCAAGTGTAATCTCAGCCATAAATATATATGTATGCATTGTCGCAAGAATAAGTTAGTCATAAAGCTTCATGTGCACAGTTCAGAATCAAAGTGACTAATTTGGTGTTCAAATACTGCCTGCCATACGTACAGGAGTAGTCTCATTGACGTCCAGGGGAATACTTGTGTTAGTAAAGTAATTGGGATTTGTCCCCAAATTAGGATTATGGTTTTTTATAAGAAGTCCATTCCATTAACAAATTGGACTGATGACACCAGTGCCCAAGTCTGTAGTTTGCTTATTCAGTTAAAGGAGAAAGTGTGTTTCAGCAGGAGTCCTATTTCTGACTAGTAAGCAAAAGTTTTGTGTATGAAAGATACTTAATTCAGTCACAAATTATTGGTCTTAATGCAGGAGTTACAGGCTCTCGGATTTCACCTAGTATTATGCAGGAGGTCTAATTATGTGATCACAAGGGCCTTAAAAGTTATGAACCTATATGTTTCATTAACTCCTTTTCCCCCTTGATGTCTCCTTTCCAAATATTGAATGGGCCCAACACTACATAGTTTATGAAACCAATGCAATCAGAGCTACTCAGACTCACAGTTTATTCTCTTCTGGATCCAGCCCCTGGTCTTTCAATTTCAAGGTAACATGGCTGCCGTAATCATTTACTTATTTGGGATGCACTTGTAAATCATTATTAGAGTTTGTTATAAACATTAAGAATTCAGTAGTTACACAGGTTGACATGTTGCAAAGATAGGATTATTGCTATAGGAAAATGAAGTTGAGCAATTCTTATCTGGTATACCAGGACCAAGTTCTTTAGAGTTTACGTACATGGGAAGTGACTATAATAATGCAACTACAGCTGAGTGAATAATTCTCACTTAGCAGCTAACCACTTATGGAATATCTGCAAGCAGATCCCCTTTACTATATTTGGCAAATACAGTCTTGAATTTTCCTCTACAGTCTAGGGCCCCATCAATGATTTCCTGTCCTGTTTAGGGGCAGGATTTTTAAGCAGTGCTGATGTACCAACGAATAGAGCACCACTGGTAAAAATACAGATGAGGCAGGCTCAGTGGCCACTTCGAGCAGTTTTATTTTTTTGCATCTGTTTGACAGGAGTCTGGTGCCAAGACAGGGAGGGAGAAGTGGAGATGGAGTGAAGTGTCCTCCCACCCCACAACAGAACACTGTTTCAGGCAGGTGCTCGGCTCATGTGCACCAGCTGTGATGCCAGCAATAGCGTTAGTATCCTGGCCAGCTGCCTGCACATGTGTTAGTAAAGTGGTTGCTGTTGTGGCACTCTGTGATTATAGTGGATCTGTATAATAACTATTATAGTGTCAGTATTTAGTACTAATAGGACCAGATTCACATCTAGCGTAAAACAGTATAGCTCCATTAACTTAGTAGAGCTACATCAGTTTACATCAGCTGAGGATCTTGACCCTCTAGTGCTTTACCTACATTAAATAATATTGAGAAAAGTTTTTAGATCTATCTTTATTCTTCTCCTTTTGAAGTAGACCATGTTCAGGAATGGCTATGAAAATGATTGATTATACTATCATACATCCCATCCCTGTAGCCTTTCACGGTGCTGTTTTCCTTATTGACTTAAGCATGCAGTGAAGAGCAGTGTCCTGCTTTTGATGAACGTTCATAATTCTGTTTCAGATCCAGATCTCTTAATGTGAAGGATACGTTAATCATTCTGGACTAAGTGTATGCCAACATTTTAGTTTTAAGACAAGGCAGTTTCAGTTATTTTGAGCTCCAAACATCTGAACAATGTTCTTAACAGCTTAAAACCATTTTTATACTCGGATAAGTAACAAATGTCTGTTTCATCATCACGCTTTCAAAAAAAAGTTATCTCTGGGCTCAGGCAAAAACTGAAGTTTCAGGCCCAAAGGCAAATTGTTGGGAATAAGTTAAGGCAGTGGTTCTCAACCTTTCTGGACGACTGTATCCCTTTCAGGAGTCTGACTTGTCTTGAGTACCCCTACTTTCACCTCACTTAAAAACTACTTGCTTACAGAATCAGACATAAAAATACAAAAGTGTCACGAACAGCACACTATTACTAAAAAATTGCTTACTTTCTTATTTTAGCATATAATTATAAAATCTAGCCATTGGAATATAGGTATTGTACTTACATTTCAATGTGATACTGAGCCTGTTTTGCATTTTTGAGCCTTGTCTGAAGCCCAAGCTCTGCTGCCTGGGGCTGAAGCATGTAACTTCGCTTCGGGTATGGCCTGGGGCAGTTACCCTGCTTGCCACCTCCTAATGCCAGCCCTCCATTTGCAAACCCCCTAAACCTGTCCTATGACCACCCTTGAGGCTGCAAGCACCAGGTCGAGAAACACTGATCTAGATGAATTGAGTACTCCCTGGAAGACCTCTGAGTATATGTACCACTGGTTGAGACCCACTGAGTTATGGGTTTAGTTTTGGATGTGCCACCTCTACCATCACTGTATAATTGCCATAACTTCTGATTTCAAGAATAACAGGAAGTGTAGTGTAAAACACAATTGTAATATGACAGTGAGAACTGCAGAATGGAAGATGTCACTGATAAAGGAAATTATTCTCCACAATTCTGATGTATGTTGATTCTGATAAGGGACAAGCTCTTGCTAAAAATACGTCCACATATAATCATTTTTCATGTGGATTTGCAAATGTTTTTTAAATTCAAATTTAATCGTTTCCCTGTGTTGCAGGTTTATTTTTATGCTATTTTTTTTTTCAAACAAGGCACTGTTGCCACATGTTGTACTTTCATGGGTTCATGTATGTTGATATGTTCATGCCCTGTGAGCATTTTTGCCTTCCACTCATGATGGTCAGTCACAGGAAAAACATTTGGTACAATTCAACTGTGACTCTGTTTGGGAGATATGAATATCAAATGTATTTACTACCTTTAAATTAGCGTATACATGTCAATTTAAAGTCTGTTTGATATAAAGAGCTTGATTTTTAAGGTCACTAAGAATCTTTTGCACCATTATTTCCCTATAATGGGTCTGATTCTAAGATTGCCAAGAATCCTCTGTGCCACTCTAGCTGCCTGAAGGGGACATAAAGCTGGTTTAACAGGCCAGGTGGGGCTTCCCTCAGCATGCTTATGTTGGCTCTGTGCCACCCCCCTTTGAAGCTGCTGGGGTAAGGTGCTCAGCTGGGGAAAGGGTGCTAAGTGATTTTCTGCTACTAGAATGGCCACTGACAGTAGGGTGCAAATTGCACTGGAGGCTTAATCAGACCTCTGCTGGACCTAGAATTGAGTGGCCTAAAGGTGATGTGAAGTCATCTTTGTTTCTCCCTTTGGGGCATGCACTAAGCACAGTTTGGCCAGACCTCAGAATGTGGCCAACTGTATTAACATTTTTTGACATTACAACAGCTCTCATACCCAACCTAGGAACTGTTAACTCCTGATGTTCGAAGCCTAAGGCTCCTGTCTAATCCGTCTTCCCTACGAGTCCACTTTCCATCCCCAACCTTGTCAGGACCTGATTTTTCTCAGTGTCCTTTGCCCAGGACATTGCAACAACTCCAGCTCCTTCTTCAGAAACTGCTTGGACCTAGACATAAGTGCAGGTATTGGCAGTCCATTCCTATTGCACTAGTTTAAACCTACTGGGGAACCCCACCAGCAGTTACTCCTACAGGAGGGGTGTCATCTTTGGGGCATTAGTAGAGTCCTCTGGACAAGCACACTTTGACCACCAGTGCTTTTTAACTTGTTCTAGGTGTAGAGCTTGGAAAGTATAAAACTAGACTGGGAGTGTTTTTTGCTTTGGTTCTGTTTGTAAAATATTGTTGGCTTTTATGTCCATTTTAGGTGAGTGTATTCCCATGTGTTTTGCATTGAGTAAAAGCTGGTATATTACATTTTATGTTGGTGACTTTAGAAAGTTTGTCTTTGTGCTTAATATGTTCTGCAGTCTAGACTGGTGACTTGAAGATGTGAAAATTACCAAAAGGTTTTAAAAGGTTGTGCGCATGCAGATTAATTGCATTTCACAGTATACTTGCCACTTCTATAATGATTTCAATAATTTGTCTTGATGAATGGAAGAGTTGCTTCTAAACTGTGGACCCCGACCATCAATTTTATTCTTATTGATGTAGTGCAAGGGAGAGTAAGCCCCCTGACTATGCTTTGCCATAACACTTCTCATTTTTTCAGCTGGTAGTCACTAATGACTTGATTTTTCAAAAGTGCCGAGCACTCTCAAATTCTGTTGAAGTCAGTTGGGGCTGAAGATGCTTAACAGCTCTGAATATCGGACCATAAGGCTTTTTGCTGATATCAGGAGCATAACTGCTCTGGTGGGCCACTGCATGTAGTCGTGTACCAGTGTCCTTGAGCTAGCTAACATCAAACAAAAATAAAGCCACCTTCTGATCCTGAGTGTCTCTGGATTAAGTTTAGAAGTGTGTGCAACAAGAGTGATGTAGTGGTGGGAGTCTGCTATAGACCACCGGACCAGGGGGATGAGGTAGATGAGGCTTTCTTCCGGCAGCTCACGGAAGCTACTGGATCGCATGCCCTGATTCTCATGGGTGACTTTAATTTTCCTGATATCTGCTGGGAGAGCAATACAGCGGTGCATAGACAATTCAGGAAGTTTTTGGAAAGCGTAGGGGACAATTTCCTGGCGCAAGTGCTAGAGGAGCCAACTAGGGGGGGCGCTTTTCTTGACCTGCTGCTCACAAACCGGGTAGAATTAGTGGGGGAAGCAAAAGTGGATGGGAATCTGGGAGGCAGTGACCATGAGTTGGTTGAGTTCAGGATCCTGACGCAGGGAAGAAAGGTAAGCAGCAGGATACGGACCCTGGACTTCAGGAAAGCAGACTTCGACTCCCTCAGGGAACGGATGGCCAGGATCCCCTGGAGGACTAACTTGAAGGGGAAAGGAGTCCAGGAGAGCTGGCTGTATTTCAAGGAATCCCTGTTGAGGTTACAGGGACAAACCATCCCAATGAGTCGAAAGAATAGTAAATATGGCAGGCGACCAGCTTGGCTTAATGGTGAAATCCTAGCGGATCTTAAACATAAAAAAGAAGCTTACAAGAAGTGGAAGGTTGGACATATGACCAGGGAAGAGTATAAAAATATTGCTCGGGCATGTAGGAATGATATCAGGAGGGCCAAATCGCACCTGGAGCTGCAGCTAGCCAGAGATGTTAAGAGAAACAAGAAGGGTTTCTTCAGGTATGTTGGCAACAAGAAGAAAGCCAAGGAAAGTGTGGGCCCCTTACTGAATGAGGGAGGCAACCTAGTGACAGAGGATGTGGAAAAAGCTAATGTACTCAATGCTTTTTTTGCCTCTGTTTTCACTAACAAGGTCAGCTCCCAGACTGCTGCTCTGGGCATCACAAAATGGGGAAGAGATGGCCAGCCCTCTGTGGAGATAGAGGTGGTTAGGGACTATTTAGAAAAGCTGGACGTGCACAAGTCCATGGGGCCGGACGAGTTGCATCCGAGAGTGCTGAAGGAATTGGCGGCTGTGATTGCAGAGCCATTGGCCATTATCTTTGAAAACTCGTGGCGCACCGGGGAAGTCCCGGATGACTGGAAAAAGGCTAACGTAGTGCCAATCTTTAAAAAAGGGAAGAAGGAGGATCCTGGGAACTACAGGCCAGTCAGCCTCACCTCAGTCCCTGGAAAAATCATGGAGCAGGTCCTCAAAGAATCAATCCTGAAGCACTTGCATGAGAGGAAAGTGATCAGGAACAGCCAGCATGGATTCACCAAGGGAAGGTCATGCCTGACTAATCTAATCGCCTTCTATGATGAGATTACTGGTTCTGTGGATGAAGGGAAAGCAGTGGATGTATTGTTTCTTGACTTTAGCAAAGCTTTTGACACGGTCTCCCACAGTATTCTTGTCAGCAAGTTAAGGAAGTATGGGCTGGAAGAATGCACTATAAGGTGAGTAGAAAGCTGGCTAGATTGTCGGGCTCAACGGGTAGTTATCAATGGCTCCATGTCTAGTTGGCAGCCGGTATCAAGTGGAGTGCCCCTGGGGCCGGTTTTGTTCAATATCTTCATAAATGATCTGGAGGATGGTGTGGATTGCACTCTCAGCAAATTTGCGGATGATACTAAACTGGGAGGAGTGGTAGATACGCTGGAGGGGAGGGATAGAATACAGAAGGACCTAGACAAATTGGAGGATTGGGCCAAAAGAAATCTGATGAGGTTCAATAAGGATAAGTGCAGGGTCCTGCACTTAGGACGGAAGAACCCAATTCACAGCTACAGACTAGGGACCGAATGGCTAGGCAGCAGTTCTGCGGAAAAGGACCTAGGGGTGACAGTGGACGAGAAGCTGGATATGAGTCAGCAGTGTGCCCTTGTTGCCAAGAAGGCCAATGGCATTTTGGGATGTATAAGTAGGGGCATAGCGAGCAGATTGAGGGACGTGATCGTTCCCCTCTATTCGACATTGGTGAGGCCTCATCTGGAGTACTGTGTCCAGTTTTGGGCCCCACACTACAAGAAGGATGTGGATAAATTGGAGAGAGTCCAGCGAAGGGCAACAAAAATGATTAGGGGTCTGGAACACATGAGTTATGAGGAGAGGCTGAGGGAGCTGGGATTGTTTAGCCTGCAGAAGAGAAGAATGAGGGGTGATTTGATAGCTGCTTTCAACTACCTGAAAGGGGGTTCCAAAGAGGATGGCTCTAGACTGTTCTCAATGGTAGCAGATGACAGAACGAGGAGTAATGGTCTCAAGTTGCAGTGGGGGAGGTTTAGATTGGATATTAGGAAAAACTTTTTCACTAAGAGGGTGGTGAAACACTGGAATGCGTTACCTAGGGAGGTGGTAGAATCTCCTTCCTTAGAGGTTTTTAAGGTCAGGCTTGACAAAGCCCTGGCTGGGATGATTTAACTGGGAATTGGTCCTGCTTCGAGCAGGGGGTTGGACTAGATGACCTTCTGGGGTCCCTTCCAACCCTGATATTCTATGATTCTATGATCCAACAGCTCTTGGATATAACAGATATTTGGGTAGGTTATCATTCTACCAGGACATGAATCAGGCTGTGAATTCAAGACTGTCATGTAGATGTGGAAATAAAGAATGCTGGTCATCTGACCTGCACATAAGAATGGTGGTATCCGCCACAAATATAGCATCTGTTTCTTGGAAGTAGCACATAAGAAGAAACATGTAGGACTTGCTGATACTTAAAGGGAAACTCTCAACATAAAGTATGCACTTTAAACAAAATTTTTAGAGTGTGTTTAAAGTAGTTTCGGATGTTACACCTGCCCCTATATCCCCCTGCCGGTTTTTGTTTGTTTGTTTTACAGTCACATTTTCCTATTTTAAAAAATGTTTTGTGTCTCTCTTGTCATTCTCACAGAGAGGAATTGACTGGCTACACAGGGAGTTTCCGTGATTAGGTACACAAAGTGCTGCCAAAAGCACAAAGCAAACAAAGTGGAAAAATGAAGAGAGTACGTTTCCCTATAACCTCTTTGAGTTCCAGAAATCTTGGGAGTTACAAATAACTGTAGCAGATTAGACCTTTTCAGACAAAAATGTGTGGGATTTTTAATTCCTATTTTTTAAATTGACTATCCCTTTAATAGAAATCTTTGTAAGACCATTTCAGTTTATGATTTTCTTTACCCTTTGTATAATACCTGCTTTCAAAAAAATTGGTTATTGTGCAGTGTAACCTAAAGCACCCCTTTCCCCTGTCCCGAATCCAGGAGTTTGAATGCAGAAGGGGTTATTGTAACATCATCCAAGAGAACACCATAACTTCAGTAGAGGATTGAACAGCTATGACAGATAAATCTCAAAAAAGCAAAGGTGTTGTCCTCATGCACATATTCCTTATTAAAAAGGGAAAGCAACCCAGAGAAGCACACTGTTTCTGTTCCTCATTGCAATCTAGCCAGATTTTCCTAGACATTAGGGAATTGCACTTCTAAATCATGTTCTCTCCTTTGAAACTATGGAGGTAAGTTCTCTTGTCTCTCCCACCTCTAGGCTTAAACAGAATTCACTTTGGCTGTCCTTCTCTGAGGTCCCTTCCAACCCTGATATTCTATGATTCTATGATACCTGGGGTTTATTCTCTATTGTCTGTCACCCTGTGTAGTCATTTACACATGAAAAACAGATGTAAAACTGATTTGGCAGTATTGTATACCTATTTTGTGCTCACTTTGTACAGATGTAAATAACTAAACAAGACGCAAGACAATGGAGAATCATATCTATGAAGTGTATTTAAACTACACCACTAGTGGTTTTTTTAAAATCTTAACAACCTTAAACAAATGTGGTTTGGTTTTCAAATTAAGGTCCTGGTAGTTGGTTTTTAAATTGTTAGAGAAAAGTCTAGCAATTTAAGTTTCTTAATTCATCCTTAAAGAGCTGCTGATTGTTTATGGAAAACATTATTGAAACAGCTCCATGTACTTCTGTATACTTATAGCAATTTGGAAAGGAGATGCATAGAAGGATCAGGAATATGCAATACCAGCATATAGATTTCAAGTATGCCTGGCTGGTCTCTTCTGGTGATATCACAGACCTACACCTGCTCCCAATGATGCACAGCTGGGGCCTGGTCTCTCAAATGTCTGCACCCATTATATGAGATGGATGAATGGGGCAACACTGATTGGGGGAGTATATGGTATGGAAAAGGGTGTTAGGTGTGAAGCGGCTGAAGGAGAAAATAGTGACAGGTTTGAAGTCCCATTCCTTTCCATTGAAGGCCCAAACTACCATTTCAACAGCAGTTTATTGCCCTTTCACCCACTTTTATCTCTTCTTCAAGTGTAAAGGTGAAGTTGGAAGCTATTTGCTATTACAAAATGGTTTTCATAGAAGAAAGTGAATTGAATTTACTCCTGGGACACAAACTACAGCTGCTTGGCCAGGTGAGCTTCTGGGGAAAGGGAATTAGGAGAAGGGGTCTGAATAAATAAATAGTCCAGGTCCTTACAAAGAGAGAAGAGTGTTGGTAAAATTAATATGTATAATCTCAAAACTGAAGAGAAATTCTATTTATAGCCTTTTTCCTACTTTCCCTTAGTGAGGAGCTACTTTTTGTGGTGGAAGCATAGGTATACGTAAACATGAATCAAAACAGGTTTTTGTTTTTTTTTTTTAATTGAAGGAAAATGAACAAGCCAAACTTTGCTAGCAATTATGCACTCTTGCGTGTGCATTAGTAGGCTACTGGTGCACTTCTCTGGTAGATGAATTTGAGCCATGCACCAGTAGCCTCCTAATAAATAATGCACATCCTGTTGTGACTTATTCCTATAATAAATGGTAGCAGCTCTATTTTTATCATGTTGCATAATACAGAGGCAAATGAGTGTTTGTTGAAATTAAAAAGCAAGCAATTCAAAACTAATTATACAATGTTTTGCTCAACATAATCTGCACAACTCACTGCCACAGCAAAAGTATAACAAGGAAATATTTGTACTTGCGTAGGTTCACAGTGAGAACCCAAGCACATGATTCTCTATTGTCCGCACCTTGTGTGGTCATTCACTCTAGCGCAAGGTTGTGTAAGATACAGTACTACCATTCTGATTTGGTAGCATTTTGCACCCAGTTAGCTCTTCTTGCATGGGTGTAAATGACAGCATGAGGTACAGAGCAACTGAGATTCAGACTACAGCGTAGAGGGCCCCACACCAACCAGAGTAAGCAATGCTGCTTCAAGCCTTGTGTTGTGTTGGTGCACCACATCTACTCAAGAGGAGTGGGCCTACAGCGATATGAATATCCCCAGGATAGACAGGGTCTGAGGGTATGTCTACACTACGAAATTAGGTCGAATTTTTAGAAATCGTTTTTATATATTCGAGCGTGTGTCCCCACAGAAAATGCTCTAAGTGCATTAAGTGCATTAACTCGGCAGAGTGCTTCCATAGTACCGAGGCAAGCGTCAACTTCCAGAGTGTTGCACTGTGGGTAGCTATCCCACAGTTCCCACAGTCTCCGCTGCCCATTGGAATTCTGGGTTGAGATCCCAATGCCTGATGGGGCTAAAACATTGTCGCGGGTGGTTCTGGGTACATATCGTCAGGTCCCCGTTCCCTCCCTCCCTCTGTGAAAGCAGCTGCAGACAATCGTTTCACGCCTTTTTTCTTGAGTTACATGTGCAGACGCCATACCACGGCAAGCATGTAGCCCGCTCAGGTAACCGTAACTGTATGTCTCCTGGGTGCTGGCAGACGTGGTACTGCATTGCTACACAGCAGCAGCAACCCATTGCCATGTGGCAACAGACGGTACAGTAGGACTGGTAGCCGTCATCGTCATGTCCGAGGTGCTCCTAGTCGCCTCTGTGAGGTTGATCAGGAGCGCCTGGGCAGACGTGAGCGCAGGGACTAAATTTGGAGTGACTTGACCAGGTCATTCTCTTTAGTCCTGCAGTCAGTCCTATTGAACCATCTTATGGTGAGCAGGCAGGTGATACGGATTGCTAGCAGTCCTATTGTACCATCTTCTGCCAGGCAGTCAAGAGATGAGGATGGCTAGCAGTCCTATTGTACCATCTTCTGCTGAGCAGCGATGAGATGTGGATGGCTTGCAGTCCTTCTGCACCGTCTGCTGCCAGCCAAAGATGTAAAAGATAGATGGAGTGGATCAAAACAAGAAATAGACCAGATTTGTTTTGTACTCATTTGCACATTAAACACCACACGCATTATCCAGCAGTAGATGCAGCACCAGAACCTGGCAGAGTGATACCAGGCAAGGTGGCGACATCAGCGCGGTCACGTGAGTGATCAAGACATGGACACAGATTTCTCTGAAAGCATGGGCCCTGCCAGTGCATGCATCATGGTGTTAATGGGGCAGGTTCATGCGGTGGAACGCCGATTCTGGGCTCAGGAAACAAGCACAGACTGGTGGGACCGCAGAGTGTTGCAGGTCTGGGACGATTCCCAGTGGCTGCGAAACTTTCGCATGCGTAAGGGCACTTTCATGGAACTTTGTGACTTGCTTTCCCCTGCCCTGAAGCGCATGAATACCAAGATGAGAGCAGCCCTCACAGTTGAGAAGCGAGTGACGATAGCCCTGTGCAAGCTTGTAACACCAGACAGCTACCGGTCAGTTGGGAATCAATTTGGAGTGGGCAAATCTACTGTTGGGGCTGCTGTGATGCAAGTAGCCCATGCAATCGAAGATCTGCTGATATCAAGGGTAGTGACCCTAGGAAATGTGCAGGTCATAGTGGCTGGCTTTGCTGCAGTGGGATTCCCTAACTGTGGTGGAGCCATAGACGGAACCCATATCCCTATCTTGGCACCGGAGCACCAAGCCGG